TTCACAATAATCAACAGGCAAAAACAAAATCCATCTAGCCTGTTAGGTTTTACTGAGTCAGTCAACATCAAACGATTAAATTTCATTACGTCATCTTCCATGTTGTTTATTCAGTTATTTTTGTTTCATCTGAACATGACTCACCCTAACCCTTTCTTTTTCATACTTTATGTAGACAAATTTTCTGCAGTTACGTAACTGATTATGTCGTGTAACTCTTTATGGGTGAACTTTGTTCTTACCCAAAATTTTCAACCCTGTTGGCCTGATTACCGTATGAAGATGAAGTCGTTTTTAGCTTTAATTAATTATTTTGACTGATTAAAAATGTCCATTGAAATGTTTTTCAAAATAATGGTAACTGAACAAAGAATATTCTTTTAAATAACCTGCTGTTAAAATAACAAATCAATAATAATAGCGTCAACATAACAATTCATTGAATGAATATCAGAGAAATTAAGAGAGGTAATAATACAAATTCATGAATTTATAGTCTCCGCTGAAAGGTGGTTAGGGCAGTAGTAGTGGCTGGCTGGACTTATTTGTTTTTCACACAGAACACCGATTGTTTGAAACGAATCGCGATAATCTGTGCTGTATGGAGTAAGCGGTACCTGGATAATTTTGCCAGTTTGTTTTGTACCTGATAGCTGATGATGGGAAAGAATTCAATATTAGCTTTGTAGCCAGTTTTGATCAGGTGTTCTAATATCGAGTTATTGATGCTTTTAACTACAAGTTTATTCGACCACACTGGTAGATTTTCCCTAGTGAGCAAGAAATATCTAGTTCCTAGAGCAACGACCAATATAAGTCGCTCCACAAGCTCACTTGAATTGGTAGATACAACTGGAAATGGCCGGTCAAACTACTTCATCTTTCATTTGGGGAATCGCAACCGGTAGCGTTGAAAATAAGACTTGTATTTTGCTAGCATTGAAAGTTCTTCGAATAAATTTTCTTAACCTCTTGGTAATTATTTCGCTATGTATATCGCCCTTGAATTCCAGTCGTATGTGTAAAGGCTTGTTGTTTACGGATAGTGAAAATTTCATTTCAACTTTCTCAGTCATATGTTTCTGGACGAATTTCTCTGGATAGCTATTTTCAATCAAGGTATCATATATAATTCTTAGTTCATCTTGAATTGCCTCTTCTGAGCATATAGAGCTAACCCTGTCGTTGAGAGTCGTAAATAAATTTCTTATGTACTGGAGAGGAACGAAGCTGTGAAAATGTGTACATTGTCCTTTCATGTGTTTCTTCTTTGCACATTTCTCTTAATACTGCTATCTAGTTTCCTTGTTAGGAGGACATCCAGGAAGGCAATCCTGTTTTGGAATTAGTCTTCGCACTTGAATTTCATAGCATAATGTACTTCATTGAAGTGAGTTATTATTGTGTTCCTATCCGAATCATTGTCATAAAGAATAAAGGTGTCATCCATATACCGTCAATAAAATGAGAATCTCTAGGTAAAGTTATTCAAAGGTCCAGTTTCCTTACAAAGAAATCTGAGCAAATGGAACCCAGTGTGGAGCCCATTGCCACCGCTTCCACTTGTCTGCCAAGTGTGCCATCAGATTTGAAATTTACATTCATGGTTCACTTCAGTAACAATTTTTCTAGGATTTCCGTTGGGTTACCAGTCTTTATCGACTGGTATTACACTTGTTCACATATGTAGTTCAATGTTTCTACTAGAGGTATATTTGTGAATACAGATGATATTACAAAAGATATAGTTTCATCCTTGATATTAATTTCCAGGTACCGCATACTCCAAACAGCAGAGGCTATTGAGATTCGCCTGAAACAACCAGTGCTCTGTGTGCAGAAGAAACAGGTCCAGCCAGCCACTACTACTGCCCTGACCAGCCTTCACAGGAGACTATCAATTCATGAATTTGTACTATTATTTCTCTTAATTTGCCTGTCTGATATTCATTCAATGTATTGTTATGTTGACGCTGTTGAACTGTAATCCAATTATATTACTACTATTATTGATTTGTTGTTATTTAAACAGCAGATTATCGAAAGGAATATTCTTTGTTCAGTCACCATTATTTTGAAAAACATTTTAATGGATATTTTTAATCAGTTAAAATAATTAAGAGTTAAAAACGACTTCATCTTCATACGGTGATCAGGTCAACAGGGTTGAAAATTTTGGGTAAGAACAAAGTTCACCGACAAAGATTTTACGGCATAATCAGTTGCGTAACTTACTTACTTACTTTACTTCGGCTATCTCCTACGGGAGGATGAGCCGGCTTCATGAACATCTCGAATCATCGCTGCTCAGGCGCGGCGATCTGATGAAGAGAGTTCATGAAGTTTCATGGGAATTTGGTACGAGTGATGTCCCCAGAATCGCTCGGCCTTTTGTTTGAGAGTGCAGCTCTAGCCTTTACACAACCGAGTGTGACCTACAAAGCAGTAGGAGTGGAGTAGGGAGTCCACTATCCATTGGCAGCCGGTGACCGGAGTCCGGTTCATACGCCTTTTTGAATGGGGCCAGACATCCAGGACATCCAACAAGCCCTTTGTCCATACGTCTGCCGGTGAGATCCAGTGAGCTTTATATGCCAGTCGTTGGAGATTTGGAATCAGGGTTTAGCCATCTCCCCTAGACTGTCATCCAATGGACAGTCAACCCGGTGAAGAGCGCCGGGCATCCGCTTTCGCCCTCTCACTTTGGTGAAAAACACCTCCGCCACGTGAAGGCAGTGAGTAGGACTTCCTCAGGAGGGGCTATGTAAGACGCCCGGTCATATGGGAGGATTTCAAGAGGTGTGCGGAGGGGTGGCCAACCCGCAGCGCACGGCACCCACCCCTGACCATCGTGAGGCTTTGGAGGCAATAAATTGTGCTCGAAACGTCATCAGTTGCGTAACTGCAGAAAATTTGTCTACATAAAGTATGAAAAAGAAAGGGTTAGGGTGAGTCATGTTCAGATGAAACAAAAATAACTGAATAAACAACACGTAAGATGACGTAATGAAATTTAATCGTTTGAATTTTCGGCAGCAATGGTTTTTATTTTTACGAGGTTCCTAGCCTTATACCTCTTTACCAGTCTCATTAGCGGGGTAAATCAGTGCGTCTCCTGGGGAACGAACGCCGAAACTCATGCGTAGTTGGCGAGCGTTCTACTGCTGTGCTATCGACACATATAGTGGGTGACTAATCCAACGGAATTCTACCACTTCTTTTTTTAAAGGTCAGTCAAATAATTTCAAGTGAAAATAGCTGGAGACTAAGGGCAACACTTACAATGGCGTTTGGCTTCAAGCGTACACCAGTAACTGCATATCACGTATGCTGCTTTCTAGAATATTAGAATCACTGAAGCAGAGAAATACGATTAGCTGATTGAGATTTGAAAATAACAAAATATTGACCGACTTATTGATTCATGCCTGTGATTTCCCGCTGATATGTATACGGGCTCTATCAACGGATGCCTCGTTTTGCCAGGATTAAGACTTCAGAGTTACTTGTGTGCCAGTGGTTCAGTAAATTACTGGCTAACGCTTGGACTTTCGAAAGAATAGTTTCATAGTGTAAAGGTAGGAGAGGAAAGACTTAGTAAGGGAATGTTTATTTGGGATCTCTATATTAGCAAGTTATGTATGTACTCCTTATTCTCAACGCACCATTTGCATAGATCTTCCGTGCTGCGCTAATTACTGCATTAACACTGTGTTGCTTTCACGTCTCCCATTTATCTCCGCAACGCTGTATCATTTGCTTTCTTTGACATCAAATCTATCTCCCTGATATCTAGTGTTTTTATACCGGTGAACATTTCTTTATATATATACATACTACTGATAAGCCTTATCAGTAGCACACGCCACAATAGGATGTGAATCTCAATGGGAACGCACTATCACGCTAGCGTGTCCAGAATAGGATGAAAGGCGCCTCCTGATAGTCCCCACCAAAAAACTAATCCCGAACAATCACCTACTGTCGTGAGACTTTGTAAATCAATGGCTGAAGGACCATATGTGGTGAGAGCTGTCTGCTAGCCAAAATCGGTAGACAGCAATTTACGTCAATGTTTACGTCCCGAATCAGGATCGTGAGAGAAAACAAGAACAAAGCCTAATCCTGAGGAACTCAACAACCAATCACAGCAGACTTAGCGTAGGCGGATACAATTCGCAGATATATCAGAAATGGCAACAAGGAGATGACACGCTAACTTCCAGTGATAAAACAACCAATCAGAAGACGCTGTTTCTCCGCTAATAATAACGAATAATAATGTACATAAGAATCTATAGGTATCTGTTGATATTATCAATAAACGATCTGCTGCCTGGCCCTTGTCTTCTTTCATTACACACAGACATACTGTGACGGGTGCTACTGACAAGATTTATAAGTAGTATAAAGATTCAGGTATAAGTATGTACATCATATGCAAGAATTACTCAGATTTGACTTCTGACAAAGCGCCTGTCCTGAAGGAGTACTGCTACTTTTTGAATTCCTCAGTTCCCAGAACAGATCATTTATCTCTCAAGCTATCTGCGACGACATTTACTTTGTGACGGCTGATGATACTACCTGGTTGTCAAGACTAAAGGAGGAGTGACATTCGGACCCAAGACCTACAGATTACTGAAAATCAAGTGAGCTGCGCTTAAGCCAGCCGATGAGCTACATCTCATCACAGAGGCACTACTACTCTACATTACAATTAATGTAAACAGTGATTAGCGCGAGGTCATGGCTCGATTCCCAGCCGACAACAACTTCTTAACCTCATCTAGCTGGTAGGCAACCCTGGTAAGCGAGTGGGAGAGAGAGAGAGATAACGAAGCTAGTAATCCCACCCCTCTATAAAAACAAACGACCGGAGGCAGCAATATTGAAAGCGAAAAGATACAACTGTATATGTATAACTGTTTATGCATTCTTTTAAAATAATCTGTATCACAAAAACATGATATATATATATATATATATATATATAATAACAGAGATAAACTGTACAATTGAAGAAAAAGAGAGAATAAGTGAATACATAATTACTTGTAAAAAATAAGCATAACAATACTACTGAAATAACTACTATACTAGGCAGTAGCACTAACATATTATATATAAGTAATAATTATATAATCACAGATAGAGAGAGAGAGTTAATAAAACCAAAACAGAACTCAATAAGTGTATCAACCAGTGGAAGATCTTTCTCACTCATTTATGCATTTGCTCCCCCAGTCATCCTCACACTCAAAGGCGGCAGCGGTCGTCAACCCACATCATCGTTTATATTAAGCGTAAACAACAAACAAACAAACAGACAAAGAAAACAGCTGAGGAGAAAACAGGAAATAGGCAACAATGTGGCAATCACAGAAGAAGGCAGGAGTGTTAGGTAACGTACATGGCACTTTGTACCTGGTCTCCACACACACGTGCGGTCTCATTTGAAGAGCCAACAAATGTAAGCCAACTTGTCCTCGTAATTATTAACGAATCAATTAGTCTCCTTTATCAATAAGCAAAATAAATACAAATTCTTGTTCCACTCTATTATCACTATTATTGATGCATTTGTAAGAAAGACAATAAATAACTCGGTAAATAGGCTTGTACCGATGGGTTGGAGGCAGTTAATCCATACCGATTGGCTACACGAGCAGCATGACACGCCAATGTCACATGATTCAATACTTGTACATGTGATTCAGCCAGGATATGTTGAAAACGCTGATAGAGAACAGTTTGAGAATTACGATTTGTAGCGTCCAAATGAGCACCACACTTGACAAGAGTTTTGATAAGAGATGCCTGTAGAATAAACAATAATAATAATAATAATAAAAGTGTATATTGCTAAATTTTAAAAAACCCAGTGGAACACCAGGGTGTACTGAGCAGCTATTTTGTCGTAGTTAATGTCTCTTCTTCTCGGCAGTATGCACCCATCGGAGCTAGAATATCCAAGACGAAACAGCTGTCCAGTACTCCGACTGACATCAATGAATGATAAAACTTAGAACAAGTCAAATGCTTACTAACTCACTCTAATAATATTTTTTTTGTTTTTTTCCTTCACGTTCCCCAGTAGAACATAGGCCTTCAAGCTAGTAGCTTGAAGTTTCTGTAACAGTGTTTATTTTACAGGATGGGTTTGCTAGCCTCATACCCAACCTTTCCTCTTTACCAACATTATTTCTGGCTCAGCGAGGTAAAGGAGTGTGTCGGCCCGGGATCAAACCCCGGACCATGTGCATGGTCGGCGAGCGTCCTAACCGCTATACCACCGACTCTAATAATAGTAATAATAATAACAATTTGAATACAAATCCTCAAAGAATTGCCACAAACGTGTACGAAGAATGTGAACTTTATATTTGACGGTGAACTCTATAGACAAGTGGATGGAGTGGCAATGGGCTGCTTTCCATTGGATGCCATATATTACCACACTTCTTTCTTAGTAAACTAGAGTATAGTCCTTTAAACAACCTTATCAAAAAAATACCAATTCTATTGCTAGTATACTTGGATAATACCTTCATCCTTTGCGAAAATGGTTTGGACAGGTACGCAATTATTATTACTATTATTCTCTCGGGTTCCAAGTGGAACATAAGGCTTGAACAACACATCTACGCCTTCTTCTATCTTCTGCTGTTTTCTCCAACTGGGTCCACGACTGCCCATAGTCATCTCTCATTTCCTTCCTCCCCCCTCGAAACGATCTCCTCCATATCACCTTCTCACTGATGACCCACTCGTCGATTTCCATTCGAATTCCACTCGAGCACTGGTCTGGAGTGCGATGGAATTCGACTGCCTTCTCAACGTATACTCGATCCAACTCCCTTTTCTACTGTATATTTGTTGAACGATCGGCTCTTGCCTGTTGGTTTATTCTTTTGTGGCAGTCTGGCCAATTGATCTTCAGTATGTAGCCAGAGAAATCGACAGCCGTTGGATAAAAGTCTGCAATCTGTTGGAAGTGCTTTTTTCATAACACGCGATGCAAGTTTCTGACCCGTATAGAAGCAGTAACTGACTCGACATTTGTGTTGAACAGAATCCGAATCTTGTTCTTCACGCTGACTGATTACAGAAGATTTCCAAACCAATTTCAGATTGATGAAGAGATGTATCTTGCCTTTCCGATTCTGACTGACTTTGACATCTTTGTCCGTGCTGACTGCCTGTGGTTGAAACCATGCTTCCTAGATAAGTGAAGGCAAAAAGTAACCTCTCTCTTAAATCTCTCCCGTTGATGGTGATTGTTACTGGTTGTTGTTGTTGCTATTGTCCAATAACTTGGTTTGATTTAAATTTTTAAAAATTAAGGGTTCAAAACACAAATCTAATCAGCTCAATTTAGGTAACATAGTAAGTAACATTTCAAAAAACCAGAAATATAAACTCAATATTGAATCCAAAAAAAAAAAATAATAATAATAATAAACGCCTACATGATCAGAACTTTTCAGTCGACGTTGAGCAAGCACATGACCAATAGGCCGTTGACCATCAACATCAGCACAATTTGCATCAGCGCCCAATTCAAATAATAAGGATAGAACATTTACATTTGGAAATGGACAGATCATAAAACGACCAACAGTTGAAGTTTCTGGTGAACAAGCTAAGTGTATCAAACTTTGACCACGATGTACTCGAGGATCTAATTTCACTAATCTGTATACCTAAAAGAAAAAGAAAGAAATTAGAGAATAATTAGCTTTAAAATGATTATGGGCAGATAAAGTATCATGAAAACAAAACAGATTTATTTACTGAGAGCATTGAAAGGAGATGGATTGGACACTGGCTGAGGAGGCCGCTGGGTCACAAAGAATATTTCCAACAGGTTGCAGACCTTTATCAACAACCGTCTTCGTTCTATACTCAAGATCCGATGGCCGGAAAGAACCACCAACAAGAAACTATGGGAACAAACAAAACAAGAACCAATCGCCAAACAACAAATATGCAGGAGAAAGTGGAGATGGATTGGACACTCGCTGAGGAGGCCGCTGGGTGACATCGCACGTCAGGCCATCGCTCGAGTGGAACCGGAAAGGGATGCGGCGAGTGGGACGTCCAAGGGTGACATGGAGGAGATCGTGTGAAGAGGAGCTGAAACAGTATGGATTAACATGGATGCAGGTGAAAAGTACAGCAGAAGAGAGAAGCAAGTGGAAACGTGCAGTTGAATCCCTATGTTCCACTGGGAACCCAAGGGAACAATAATAATAATAACAATAATTGAGAGGAGCCTTCATCATTGCATGTTACTTTCAGACAGGTGAGATAGGGTGGGGTGCGGCTAATTACAACATGTTCCCCACTGTGGTTACGGTTTTCCACAATATCTGATAACAACACCAGCCACTTATTCGAATTACTTCTAGAATTCTACCAACCGACACGGAGAGTCGTAATGCACCAACAAACACTAACTTACCACAACTATCCTTCATCTAAAGATGTTACGATATGGGCAGACTATCCTTTCCATTCTTTCCATTCAATTCATGAGGCAGCATACAGTAAACACCGTGGTATCCGCTGGGATGATATTCGTAGCACATGTCCAAGTCATCCAAGCCGGTGTTGCAAAATTACATTTACTGAAAGTCAATCTCCATTATGTCCAAACAGAATTATTTACAAGATGATGTCACTAGATACAGGCAATTCTACGAAAGTTGAAATGGTCGAATACTCAGAGTCGTAGTACATCCTCAGTTCGGTGGCCAGGTTTCACAGGCATACAGAGCAACTGAATACACACTGAAGTATTGGAAACCCGACTCTTGGTGACAAAACTAGTATTACAACGGTGCCATATATATATGGAGTCCGGACTGGTGTATGTCTTCCTGGCAATCACACTCAATTCTAAGCGTTCATCTGGGATGGTGGTGCGTCGGTGGCACGGCGGTTAGGACGCTCGCCGACCATGCACATGATCCGGGGTTCGATCCCCGACCGACGCACTCCTAAACCTCGCTAAGCTAGAAATAAAAGCTGGTAAAGAGGAAAGGTTGGGCATGAGGCTAGCAACCCCATCCTGTAAAAAATAAACACTGCTACAGAAACTTCAAGCCTCTAGCTTGAAACCCTATGTTCCACTAGGAACGTGAAGGAATAAAAAAATCTGGGATGGTGAGTGCAGGTACATGCTTCTGAGAATTTTGCATCAATACTTTACACTTAGACACAGCAAAGTAAAAATCATCCTTACACACATTGCATAAAATAATGAGACACCCATACAACTGCTCAAGCAGTACTACATAAAAGCAGTTGGTTAGGTTTGTTGGAATATATTTAACTTTACAGCAGATTGTATCACTCCGTAAAATCCATCTAGAGAGCTATTGAAAAGCATCAAGTACTAGACAGATAGTTTATATCCTGATTTGAGACTCTCTAACAGCACGTCTTTTAATGAACTTAGCATCAATTCTAAGGGTGATCCTGTGACTCATATTGGCAATCTAAACGCTAGGCTTCCGAAGCTGTGTGGCGGATTCCATTGCAGCTCCGCCCACTGAGGTTTGAACAGCCAGCTAGCATCATTAGCTCACAGACAACTGTAGGGAATTATGAGTAGCTGTTGAGTAACAATTCACATTTTATTTCACTATATGCTCGGAGTGAAAAGCAACCTACAAAATTTTTACGACAGAAGCTGACCCACTGACTGGTTTCAACGTAGAACTTTGCACCAATGTGTAGCAGTTCAAGTCGCCACACTTCACTCAGCACACAAAGCAAGAGAAAGTAAAAAGAAATGCAAAACAGAAACAGTAAGCACAGATATGAGGTAAAAAGAATAGTAATATGGAAGAACAATATAGTTTTATTGGATATTGTAAGTCACAAGGAGTGAACGCATCTGTGCCAGCCATTGAGAACGATTTTCAGTCATATCACTAATTGTCTCCGGTCATTGATTTCTATCGTTTTGAAGACCCGAGGAGCCCAACCAGGAAGTCTGCATCTCCCTACCTGACTGGCTTAAACTAATTGTTATGGATTTCACTGACTGATGAAGTCATGTTTTGGTTTGACCACCACTGGCTAGCTCTTTTCCAACCTGATCTATCTTATGTCAGCTAACATTGCCTGTCGTCAACCTAACCATCACAGTCGATGTAACGTCACAGCCTCGCCTATTGATTTCATCAGAAACAGAAAATCACTATAGGCATGAAGTGAATTCGTGGAATTCCGCGCGCCCTATATACATAATTTGCCTACATTCACAAAAGAAAAGCCATAAGTTTTTTTTAGTGTGCATTTGCTTTTTCAAATCAAAACTGTGAGTATCACCACCTGTAGATGCTCTGATTCAATGCAATGCAATGCAAAAGAAAAGAAAAGTTATTGATTAAATAATTAATGAAGTAAATCATACTGTAGGCATGTGGATATACCGTCTGACCTAATTTATCATGATAATAAGTTATGCAATACAAGTGTACTATACTAATAAGCACAGAAATAAGTGACACTAGCAAACATCTTTTTTATTCAGTTGGAGTATTGAACGTTTTGATAGTCATTTCTAGCTGTGTGAGATCACATTTATGATTGAACTATATTAGGACAGGAGGGAATCCATAAATGACTAACATTTTTTGATGACCAATGCAGAGAATAAACAAGAAACTCAGCAGAACTATAATGAGCGGAAAGAATAGGAACACACGGATAAGCATGATGATTACAAGGAGTGAATGCACGTGGAACAGTGAGAACAATTTTGAGACATATCACTAACAGTCTCCAGCTTATGGTTCTTAGTATATTGACGACCTCAACCAGACAACCTATACCTACCTCCCTACATGGCTTGAAGCAACAGCCAAAGACTTCAGAAGATCAATGACATGTTTTGGTTAAACAACTCGTAACTTTCCTGTAACCTGATTCTATGTCAGTTAACATTGCGGCACCTGTCAAGGAGAGTGATGCCTTGGAATGCTCAACATGTGTCCTAGTTATGTCAACCAATATAGCTTCATAACCTAATCGACTTACTTGCCCTTCTCACCTAACCACTGCCGACCGATAGCTGGTACCGTGACGTGGTGGTCACCGGGCTTGCATATCACAATGACTCAACAAGCTACACTGGCTGAAACTATTGTTCCTGTAGGTCCTATCATACCAGGAAGGTTGTTAGGATAGCGATTAGACTAAAAGCAGTTACCGGCATAGTGTAGGAATTTTTATTTTTTTACACTATGCTGGGGGTCTGTGAGCAAAGTCGTACCGCTGGGGAACAGGGTTGTAACAGCAGTAAGGTGTTTCCGTCAGATGACCAGCATACCGGCCAGCTATGCTGTCTTTCCACTCTGGAGAATGGGGGTTAGAAAAGGTCGATCCCAAAAATGGTACATCCTTACTTACTCTACGGTGGTTCGTAACCGGCAGTAAGTTTACCAATACGGAACCAATTCAAGAAAGCAGTTCATACAGGCCGTGTGTGACCGGCCTCAAGCAGCTGTTGTTTGGGCTCTACGGTCACACAACATTAACTCTCTTTCTGTTTCAGGTACCCGAAGAATCAATCAACTTCCACGGTGTAGGCAGTTGGGAAGTAACAACCACCCACACGCTTCCAAAAACACACGAAGACAAAAAGCTTAACCACTTAATAATTAGAGAGACAGCGTACAAATAATATATCTCTGGTCGAAGATAGTTAAGCCTTCTCCAATATTTCCCACTTCCAGTGGCCATATCTCACAGCCATAAAAATGGACAGAGCAGACTGATGAGCAGTACACGCACACACACATCCTTTGATGGATAACCGGATATCATGTTTACGCCAGAGATGATAAAAGTTAGCAAATGTCATATAGGCCGTTTATATCCGTGCTGAGATTTTGTCAGGAGTTTCTGAAATTTACTAAATAAGTGAAGTGGTCAACAAGCTCAGCTATCACTTCACTCCCTATCTTCAAAACTAGAGGTCGGTGCAGATTAGTCCTACAAGGTCCTCTTTCATTTGAGGGGAACAATTTGCATACCATGTCTCACAGACAAAGAGAAGGACAGAAAAAAAACACGTACTTATATTATTCTCTGGATTAGAAGTTCATTGAATCACATAAAGAAAACAGATTTCTCCAAAGTTTCAGTGACACTTTGTTTACAAAGTTGCTAGCAAAGTCAGCGAGGTTTTCGGTGACACTTCCATAATCGTCTCTAAATGAGTCATAGGCACCAACAACCAACTACTAGCACATATCCGGTTGCCAGTATGACTCGTGAAGGTGACAGATGAATTACACGTTAACATTCTCCATCTTTGTATTCTAATACAGTGTATCTCATTGCTACTATTGTGGTGAGAGCTGGCTGCTAGCCACAGTTGGTAGACAATAATTGACGTCAATGTTTATGTCCCCAATAGCCCGGCCGATAACTGCTACCTTGCCGTGGTGGTCGGGCTTGAATGCCGCAGTGACCCAACAAGCTAAACTGGCTGGGACTCATGTCCCTGCAGGTCCTACCATGCCAGGAAGGTTGTTTGGATAGCGGTTAGACTAAAAGCAGTTACCATGGGGTACATGGGCTCCAGAATTCAATCGGATCAAATGGCGTACGAACCCATATGGGTCACCGGCAACCATGGGAACGCAGCACCTGACGCTGCTCCGCTGCCTTGCGGATTAGACTC